AGAAAATAACATCTTCCATTTTTTATGTAATTTACCAAATTATGGAAATTTTTATTCATTTATGGTGTCTTTTTAACCTCTCATTCTGTCATAATAAAGAAGATGAAAGCTAGATGCTAGTCCTTCTTTTAAAATAACCAATCCAGTGTTTTTAAGACCTTGACTGCAGAAAAAAAACCATTCTAAATCTTTAGTTATCTTCAGATGAAATTATAAATGTTTACAGATTATTTCTTATCCATTTCTAAAGTAACTTTAACCCCCCCCCCATTAGTTACTTAAAGCCCTGATGGTGCAAAAAGACCCCCAAATCAGATGTGTTCTTTCTTCTGTATCCAAATATCTAGTCATAAAATTCCATTTGGGAATTTTTTAGCAAATGCATTTGACTAACATATTGCTTCTGCAAAAACATTTGTTTGCCTATTGCTGGGGACAGTGTAAATATCCTAGGAGCATAATGGAGTAAAATCTCATTCCATGGGCAAGTTAGTGATAGAAAAGTAAGGGGGTTGTCATTTTATTCATAAAAATCTATAGAATAATAATTTCAATGGTGTCACCTTCAGTGGTGTGGCAGCGGGGACTCACCGGCTCCCATCTCCAGGTGCTCCAGCCGGTGGAAAGTTTGATAATACAGTGTTATCAGAAATGGGTCAAATTGGGTATCATTCAAAAGCCCTTTCTCCCTCAAACATAATGGTACCAAACATGACAAATCTAGAACAACTATATAGATATATATTTGAGAGAAATGTTTAAAAATCAACATTTTTTAAATTATACTTCAAACACAGATTCATTGTTTACATTAAAAAAACAACCCTCTTTGGTAATCCTAGGGAAGTTAAATGTCCTATATGTCAAGGTTATTCACCAAAGTCATTATCAGAGTTGTCTCTGTCTAGGGCACTGCTGCTAGATACGTTGTCACACTGATTCTCGTGCTACACTTGCACAGCTCCATACAAGGCAGTCTGCTGGCCAAACATTTCCAGGCCAGTGAGCATCTTCTCTTTGCATATAAGCATTTAGTTAGCTGAAGGATTGGTTCGGGAATGTATGGTATTTCACACATAACTAGTGTGATCTGTCCATCCTCCAACACCCATCCAGGCCTGACAGGGGAGGGTAGTTTTGGATGCACTGGATCATCCTGGGTCCATTTCATTGTTTGATCATTTGCCTTCTTGATCGCAGATAGAAATGCATACCTTGTCAGAAGGAATTTTTCTTTCTTTGTCTGTTTCTTGGAAAACATCCACCAATGTAACTTTGCAACTGCATAATAATGGTCTTCAAATGGTAAACTTGGCATATGAACATATCAGGTGCATTTATGACTTCATCAGTGACTGTCTCAGCCATTCCAAGCATCTTCAGAGCAAGGAGAATCTTTGGAGGCTAAATCAAAAATCTTCCAGTAAATTAATTTGGTCTTTCCAACCAGCCTTCCAGTAGTGTCACATCCTGAAAGTGTCTGAGAACCTGGCAGTACCGTGGTTTTAATGGTCTGAGTGATAGGAAAACATCTCTGAGGGATATACAGCAATTCCGTTCCCCAGCAGCAAGCACGAAAACAGAATCTTGCAGAAGTCTTGGGTAGCATCTCACAGAGAGCACTAAAACATCTGTGTCTTGTGCAAAAATCCAGAGTTTAGTAGCACCTCTCTTTGTGGCATTGACAGCATGCAGGATAATTTTAGTGTCAGCCTCCTCATGGGAACTATGAAGAAACTCCACTGAACAGTGCAAGGCATCCGCTTTGTTACACAATGCAACAAAGAAATTCTTTCAACAATTCCTTGCATGCTAGAGTGTTTTTTCTGCAAAGTATGCAATTAACTAATCCTTCATTTGAGTATGAGACAGCTTCTTTAATGTGACATTGAAGATGTTTGTGGAGTCAATGATTTTGTATTGGACAGGTGAAATAAGATAGTCTCTCTTCTTTCTAGTAGTATTTTAATTGATTCTTCTACATATGTGTCAAATATGAGGTGGATTATGTCATTGATCCAGTATATTCTCTGTAGCTTCATAATTAAATTAATCAGCCAAATCTCAGCAGGCATTAACAGTTTCTGGTTTGTTGAGAACTTATACCTCAGCCATTTATGATTGCTATATTGAAAGGACTCTGCTGGCATAAGATACCAGTCACATTGTCACTGGGTGCTGGCTTAGGAAGACCAGGCTAGGTATGTATTAGTGTACTTTAGTTTGCTTTTCGTTTGGCACGTATGCCTTCTTCCATCGCATTCAAACACAGCTTGTTGTACTACGAAGAATTTATACTTTCCTAAAGTCTCATGTAGGTCAACATCATGGGGATTACCTGTCTGTGGTTAGCTCTGAAAAAATCCCTGCTATGTTCACTTTGATTTTCTTTTAAGTCATTTACAGCTTTAGTCTTTTCTTGATTGGAGACCTTAGATTGACAAACCTCTGGATAATGCTTTGGGTTTTGAAGACTTCAAACAAGTCATGATCCAAAGTATCCATTCACTTCTCATCACTTGGACCTGTTTTGTCATGATTAATAAGCGCTGGTCTGTCGTACTCAGATGTGCTGTCAATCCAAGTAAGCTCATCCTGTCCTCTTCTTGGCACTTAGCAGAACCTAATGGTGCTTGATTACTTCTGGGAAAGTCATTCCAGCTGTGCATAATATTTCATTCAAAATTCAATGGAGTTCTGGGGTTGTCAGGAAAAACTGGGCTTCTGTGTTATGCCCACCAACCCCCAAATAACTTTCTTTTTGCTGCGTTTTCATGTTCTAGAGCTTTATCTGAACCAAATGCCCAGCAGGGAATTAGCGACCTTTAAACACTCCAATTTCCTTCTTTAAATTCTTCCCATGTGTCTGGGGCAGACTTCACTACACCTCTTATTTCAGCAATTTACCAGCAATCATTGCAGAATAGTTGGTTAGATCTAAAGCAAAAAAATATTTCACAAAGTCTTCCAGTCCTGTCAAATGCTAATTCCAATTAGCACTCCGGACAAATGAAATAAAGAGAGCAAAGACTCTCCCACAGCTAACACTTGTCCTGGCATCTTCGACTTTTCCTGGTGCTCGATGTACTTCCTCTGCAACCTTGCCAAATTCAGTGTATGGGTGCAGTTCATGTAGCACACAAGCTGTCACGGAGCCACATGTTTAACCAGGTCCCCTACGGTGGTATTCTCCAAGATTCAGATATTAGCTGGTATTCTTTGCTCCCCGCTAATGTCTAAAAATGATCAAGATCAAAGTAAAAACAAGGATTTTGTAATACATTTCTTTGGGATTGGGTAATGGGGTAGCACCCACCTCTCACGAGCATGCCCTGGTTGAGTGCGTGTGCCTGCACTCTTGGTTTGTGGTGACCTCTGTTGGTGGTTCTCAAGCACCAAGTCAACCGAGTCTCTCACACAATCTGTACGTGAAGCAAACCAGACCTCTTCCGGTATATACAGACCACCAGGGGCCTATCCCAGTACCCCTCTGTTGGTATCTCTGTAGCCCTCCCTGGGTTCAGTCTTTAAATAGTCCCAGCCCAGGTATGGGGCTGTACCCTCAGGACACTATCTTCCTGCAGCTCTTCCTCGGCTCAGTCCTTACTCAGTCGCAGCAGCCAGCCAGGAGCCCCTTCTTGCATCCCCAAGCCCTGCCAGCAACTGATCTGCCCATGGTCCTTCTGCTCCTTCAGCCAGCCAGGAACACAGTTCCAGGCAGCAACTGACTGACTCTAGCCCTACAATTCCTTTTATGTGAGTCTGTGGGGCTCTGATTGGCTCAGTGCTCTCTGCAGCCTCCCTTATTGGCTGCTTCCCCACAACCATGCTAGGCCACTGGAGGACTTTCCTTCTTCTCCTCTCTGGGATGGGGTGTGGTAGGACCCTGTGACCTCCAGCAGGGAGCCTCTGGGCCTAGTACAACCCATCACCGTGATTGTAATTAATTATGTTATGTAATGTATGTATGTTATGTAACTATGTGCGTACTGTTTACAAAGGTATTCCATTAATTTCAGACTGGATGCTGACATCTTAAGCAGTACCTCATTAGAACTCTTTTGGCATTATAAACAAAGTTGATAATCAATACCACTGAACCACTTCTTTCCTAATGATACTGGCAAATCAAGTCAAAGCACTCCTTATATGTATAGTAATCTGTAACATTAAAAAAATTAATCAGGTATCATGTTCTGAGCATGTTCTGTTAATCAACGGACACAATTTTACTTTGTGAGGGCTGCATGTTTGACATGCCTGTATTTAAAGTATAATTTTAAAAAGCTAATTTAAAACATTTTTCTCAAATACATAGCTACATAATTGTTCTAGGTTTACCTTGTTTGGTACCATTGTGTTTGTGGGAGAAAGGGCTTTTGAATGATACCCAATTTGTCCCATTTTTTATGATACTGTATTATCAAAATTTCCACCAACCAGAGGACCTGGAGGGAGGCGGGGGGGGGGGGGGGGAAGCAATTCCCCACCACACTGCAGAGGGTGACACCATTGAAATTATGATTCTTTAAATTTTTACGAATCAAATACCCCTCCCTTACCTTTCTATGGTTAACTTGCACATGGAATACACATGCTCCCTGACTAAAAAATTAGTATGATTTCAGTGTTGTCTGTTGGTGTGGCAGAGATATGCTTATAGCTGGGTGAAATAAATATTTAAATCTATATGCTATCTAAATTGTTAATTTAAAGAGTGAACACAAGGTCTCAGAAAGATGGGCTAGGGAACAGGCTTAAGACTCTAACAAGGCTGATTTGTGGTCTTGAATCCTGGGCTGAGGAAAATAAAAGTCCATATGGCATAAGCCATCATGCAGGGTGAATGAGCAGAGGAGGAAGTCATGCTTAGGGGACTGAGCCTGAGGTCCCCAATACCAAAAACAGAGGTTAAGATAAACCTTACTCTGATAAGGTAAAAAGTTTTCTACAAATAAACATAACCTAATTCAAGGTAAATTCTGTTTGTTTATTTCAAGGGAACATGACAAAGACCCTGAGAGTTTCTTTAAAGTATTACTGAAACTTAAGGAGATGGACCTACCTTTTCATGTGTCTGTCCTTGGAGAGACCTTCACTGATGTCCCAGGTACCTTTTTGAATGATCTAATTCTTCAGGTGGCAGAAGCCAGACAATTCTAGAAGTTATGGGGTTGGTAAATTACATAGTAAAACAAAAAGATGCTGGTATGTTATAAAATCAAATTGTTATATTAAAAATATTTCAGCGCTCTTTGATATTGCTTGAGAGTATAAAGCCATTTATTTATGATATGTGTTCCATGTAATGCATTTATAAGGATGTAAAATATATAGATGTAAGAGATTGGATAGTTCAGAGAATTATTAATGAGATACAGAGACTTTCAACTCTAGGTCACTGGTCTGAATTCTGCACTGACCAAAAGTCATTACTATTTATTTGATGGCAGCTTGGCCTATATGAAATAAGTGAAATGTGTCTTAGTTCACTTCCTAGTGGACAAGTGTTAACATCATAAAGACTACCATCATAATTGACACTAATTGTTGACATTATCAGCAGAAAGGACAAGACGTGGATGACAATGGAATTAAACTATCCTCTCACCCTAAGAGTGGTCCCTTCAAGTTATACTTAAGTCATATATTTATATATTTACACACATACAGAGAGAGAAAGTGACAGAGCATGTCAGATATTCAGCTGGTGTGAATTAATGTAACTATTGACTTCAGTGGAATTTTGCTAAGGATCTGCTGCTTAATATTCCTGTGCTGTCATTTGAAATGTCTGAAATACTGCTATTGTTGTTTGTTATAACTGATGTGTCAACTATGTGCTTGAGCCTTACCAGGAACTTTTTGTTGACTTGAATGAACATACCCCGAGTTTACTGCAATTTTTTTTCTATTTCTGGGTCAATTGCTCTATGTACTGTTTAACCTCTGACCAAGTTTTTGTTCTCCACATCCTTAGCTAATAGAATTGTGACCTTGCGGGATGCTTCTTGATATTTGTTGAAATTCAACCCCATTGCCCACACGGTTTTACATTTTCTGCAATTACCCTGCTTTAAGTGGTAATGGTTTTCTTCTTGGAGATTTTCAGGTAGAGGCACTAGACACTAATTTAGTTTAAATCTAGGGATTATTTACACCATGACCATGTCTTTATACCAATTCTATAATACCTTTGGTATAAAACTGGCATAGAGACTTGGGGCTATATTCAAAAAAGGATTTAGGCTCTACAGGCCCCACTGGGATTCAGAAAGCCCCTGCTCAGCTCCCCCCCGAATCCTGTTGGTGCCTAAACTCTCCTAATACCTAAATTTTTGCATTAAGAGTTCCCTAAGTGCCTATGTTTCTGCCTCTGAACATACGCACTGCAGCCCCATCTCAGGCATCTGGATGCCTATGTCCCAGAGCAATGCATGAACTGGGGGAAGATAGACATTTCTCCATGTAACTTGTCAGTGTGTTCAGTAAGTATGTTCAGACCTCACCTACTGGACTGGGCCCCTACAGAGAAGCTCACACAAAATCCAAATCTCTCCTTGTGTGTAGTCCAGTGGTTACAGTGCTCTCTTGGGATGCGGTAGACTCCTGGTTCAGTTCCCTTCTTCACCTGTGGGAGAGAAGGGATTTGAACAGGGATCTGCCACCTTTATGGTGAGTGCCCTAGCCACTGGGCTACGGGATAGTCTGACGGGGGCTCCCTCCATCTCTCCTGTTGAAGTTGCTCCACTGTGGATAAATAATTTCAAAAGTAATTGGAGCAGAGGGAGTGGATCATGGATCTTTTACCTCCCAGTTGAATGCTCTAACCTGCAGGCAGCAGAGTCATTTTCATGCTTGCTCTCTCTCTCTGACCCAACGATTCTTTCATTATTTATCCACAGTGGAGCAGCTTAAACATTGGGCGAGAGAGAGAGCAAGCATGAGGATCCAGTCCCCCTACTCCAATTATTTTTTTAAATTATTTCACCACAGTGGAACACTTCAACTGGAGAGACTGACTGTCAGACTCTGCAGATCCATCAGAGGGAGCCTGGACTTAGGCACCTATTTCTGAGAGAGGGGCAGGGCTTACCACTTACCCCTCAGCTTGGCATCTCTCATTGGTTATCAGAGATGAGAAGGCGCCAAGTCTACTGACTTTTGTGAATCCCATTCTAAGGCACCTGTCTCTCCCCATTCATTGTATTGGGAGCCTACAAGTGCCAAAGTCAGATTTTATGAATCCCAGTGATTTTTTAGGTGCCTACGTTTCTTTGTGAATGTATCCCTTGAGCAGAAATAGACTTCAAACACTCAGTGTGATGATCCTAACAGGAGCGTATGTAATATGTTGAGTAAGTGGTTATGCTGCCAGTGGCTGGCCCGCTTGCAGGCTAAGAGGCTACTACTGCCATCATCCTTAGAGGTAACAAAGATCATGGGTTCCATCCCCAATGATGAACCAAGGTGAGGCATTACGTTATATAGCTAATATATTTGAAATGCTACAAAAAGTGTCCAGTTTTGTGCTCTGACAATTAATGGAATGCAGTAAGGCATTTCAAATGTATTAATCTGATTCATTAACATGTGACTGATCTCTAGGGTACTAATGTGACTCCTTTTCCCTAGTATTCAACCGTCTTTAATGTTTTTATCCTGACAACACTTCTGTGGGATAGGGAAGTGCCATTATTCCCACTTTACAGATGGGGAACTGATGCATAGTGAATAAATGATGTGTTCAAAGTCATACAAGAAGTCTGCAATGGAGCAGGGAATTGAACCAAGGTCTCCCAAGTCCCAGGGTAGCATTTTAACCACTGGACAATGCTTCCTGTCTATATAAGTGATGTTTTTTCTTAGCTTTCATATAAGGTCCAATCCAGCACCCATTGAAATCACTGAAAGACTCTCATTGGTTTGAGTGGGCACTGGATCAGGTCCATAGTGCACGCTTCCAACTGTCCCACAATAAAGACACTCTAATTTAAAACACTAAGTTTGCATCTCAGTGTAATCCTGATGCACTCTCATTTCACATCAACATAAATCACCTTGGTGTGGCATATCTGTCTAGACAGATAATTTCCTGGAAAGGAACACTGCAGCACATTTAAACCAGCAACCACCAACCTCCCACTTCCAGTTACTCTTATGGCAGGATCCAGGTCACTGATCGTCAAAGGTGAAATGACATGCCTTTATGCAAATTCTACATAAGTGACCATCTTACACCCAAAATCAGTAACAGAATATAAATAAATATATACAATTTAAGCTAAGTAGTTAAAATCAGTACGACCCTGATCCTGAGCGTTCCCAACTCCCCCACTGGAAGTTAAGGATATTAGCACTAAAGCTGGTCAGAAATTCTCTGACGGCACGTTTTCCCATCAGAGAATGCTGATTGATTGAAATTGAAATGTTTTGTGAAGACAGTTTGATTTCAGCAGCATATAGATGGAACCCAGTCTGGTCTCCATCAGAAATCTGCCTGCTTTCCTGCCAGCTCACCTGCCCAGCTCCTTAGCAACCCACCTGGTGACTTGCTGGGACCCCAAGTTTCCAGGCTCCTGGGTCCTTGGAAGCTTCTGTGGTGGGCTGACAGGGAGCCTGAAAACCCTGAGAGCCAGAACTCCAAAGCTCTGTGGCCCCTGGCGCAGCTGGGGTCCCAGGCTTCTGGCTCCTCTGCAAGCCAACAGGCAGGATAATGGGGAACTGGGAGCTGGTAGGCCCTGGGAGCACCGGCTCCCTAGCTACCAGGCTCATAGCTTCAGGGAAGCCACCAGGTGGATTACCCCAGACCCAGGGCTTTATTCTGCTTCACAAAGTCTTTCAAAATATTTGGTTTTCATGTCAAATTGAAATGAAAACACATTTCAAATTATCAAAATTCTATGTGAAATGGAATTACTTTTCTCCATACAGCTCTAATCAGCACATCTAAGAAGATGCTCAACACCTCCCAGAACCAGGACCTTGTTTTCTGTTGGTTAAGGCAGGATTCTGTATTTGCCTTTGTTATAACTGGTAAAAATACTAACACCTAACGCTGTGTAAAATGCCTCTTTCTGTGTGCTTTTGACTTTAATAATCTCTTCAAAGTAGTAGGGGAGAAATGGAATGTGAAACAGAGATATTGTATTTAAAATAAAATTTAGGGTTAAGAACTCCTGTGGAGAGCTTCTGGTTTATGTCTATCATGAAACAAGTCATTAATCTTTAATATTTGCATATAATACTCTTCTGCACTTTGCTTCTTTTCCTGGCTTGTGAGGATAACTGTTCTGTATAAAGTTTTACACAATTCAAAAGAACTGGAGCTAATTCTGACTATACACAGCTTATGTTGGACATATTATACAAACAAACAGTAAGAATAATGAAACCCTATTTTGGGAGTATATGCAGTAAATTAAGTAGCTTTTTTAAACTAATGATGGGTGAACCTCAAAACATTGGTAGTTTGGCTCACATATAAACCTGCTTTGTATATTTTCACCTCTTGAGTCAGTAAAATTGGGCTTGAAACAATTGGTCTTAGAACAAGCTTATTTGTTAGATTTCTAGTATTTCCTGCTTCCTGTTCAACCAGAAATATCACAAGAATAGTCTTCTTTCTAGTATTCTGGCACTTCCTCCTCTGGCCCTAATAGGAAATTAATCTGGTCTAAAATAACTATGTGGACCACTGAAGTTGTTTGATTTCATTTGAGCATTAGGTGAAGATTGTTGGTCCCGTTCTTCTGTGTTGGGTTGTTTGTTTGTTTTTTGCCCAGTTCTTCTTTTTATATTACTTTATGAAAGCCAGTTCTCCAAAGGCAAGTCTTCAACAGAGATGCTCACTTGTGCGCTTAGCGACCTCTGGCACAGGAATTTGGAGAACTCTTCAGAGAGAAAGAAAAATTCAAAAGTTTTACTGTACAGCACAGAATTCTTCACTAGCCACATGAAGGCAGTGTGCCTTGCACTCTAGGTAAGACAGAAAGAGTATGACTTATCCTTCATAGAATCATAGAATTAGAAGGGACTGCAAGGGTCATCTAATCTAACGCCCTGCCAAGATGCAGGAATTGTTGTGTCTAAACTATCCAAGACAGATGGCTATCCAGCCTCCTTTTGAAAAATGTGGGCTATATTTTCCTGGTGGTTCCAAGAGGAGTACTGGCTACTGTATCATTTATCTGCCTTTTTCAAGGTGAGTCTTTTCTTTGGTATTCTGTTAACTGTAACAGGGTCCACGACCCGTCCCTCTTCCTGGGGCCCGCTTGCTGCCCCAGTAAGGCTCCAAGAGGCTTCAGGCTTGTGCAACCCATGTCTTTATTTACCTACAGTTATCCCATCACCAGTGTCTATCTATTTACAAGCTTTACAGGATTATTCAACCTCTTTTACAAGCAGTCAGCCTTCAGCTAGGAGGCCTTCGGTTCCCTCCCTCCCTCACTGACTGACTTCTCTCTGGCTGCCCCCTTGGCTTCTGGCTCCCTCCAAGCCTTTATAGCCCTTGGCTTGTCAGGCCAGCAGGTGTTGCCAATCCTCAGGCCAGCATCAGGCTTTTTCCATCAGCCCAAATCTGCTTCTCCTGATTGGAGCTGACAGGGCAGGGGCTAATTAGATGCTTTTGTACCAGCACCCTGCTACATAACCATTTTGTGTTTATTTTGTTTCACTCTCTCCACCAGTGGAATGAGGAACAGGACAAGCAGTTACACGGATATCTGGACCAATGACAGGTCTAAGGTGCAACCTCTAACAGCCCGCAGTTTTCTGTGTAGCTTCTGTCATTGATATTGAAGTGAACCATCATGGCTAGAAATACAGAAACTCTCATGAACCATAGTGATGGGAGCAATTTAGAAGAATCTAATGACATTCAAAGCTTGCAAAGCTCATCTTTTCCCCAAATATTTGAAAACAGGGGAAATAATAAGTATGGAGAATTCTTGTGGGGAAAGGGAAAACTGAATTTTTAAGTTGACTGTCTTACTTCTGGTGGTTTATATTTACCCATACTATTCACTTCGGATAAGTTTTTAAATTATGTCTAGGGTACATACAGCATATGGATAATTGTCCTTTCTTAAGCATTTTTATAAATCCAAACAAACAAATATAGAAACTGTTGTAGCCATCCTGGATAGAAATGGGTGCTATATATGACTCAAGAGCTAGGAAACTCACTTTCTGATGGCATACAGCACTTGGTTTTAGCACTGATTGACTGACACATTGGATCTTAAAATCACTACATTATTATTATCAAAAAGAAAAATTATTTTAAATAATGTTCAGAGATTTTAAAGTGTGTCTGTTAAAATTGTTTCCTTTCCTGAGTTAGACTAATATAGGAGTAGGGGTGAAAAAAGTAGCACCAGATTCTAAGATATTTTTTCTGTAAAATATGTGACACACACAGAATATATGATGGTGTCCTGTGGAGACAAGTTTTATTGGCAGTCATTTTGGATGATGCTACGTATCTTATTTGTAGCTTCTTGTGATGAAGAGAATCACTAGCCAGTGTGCTGCCTTCTGGCTAAGAAGGGCATTGCAGGGTTTCATCCTCTGTAGTCCTGCTGACCAGATCCATCTATGGTCCCCTCTTGACTTGTGACTCTGCCCTCCACCCGTGTCACCTTTGTTCTCATTCCTTCTGGGGTAAACCAGGATTTTTACCCAATAGTCTTTCTGGCCTCTAGTGTCTGGAGTCTTCTGGCTAGTCCTCCCAGTGAGGCTGGAGGGGAACCCAGTACCTCCCTCTACTATGTGTTCCAGCTCAGGGACCTTTGTGGCAAGTGGTTACATTCTGTCTGGTCAGACCTCTTGCTTCTTCCTAGCCTACTTCCTCCAAAGTGTCCACCTTCTCCTCCAGGGGTTCATATTCTCAGCAAGAATCTGCCCTAGGTTCCAGCCCCTAGTCTCAGTATTCAAGGCACCAAAAGAGAAGAAAGTAAATTAACAGAAATAAGGAGCGGTTCCAGCTTCTCTGTCCTACATGGATCCTCCAGCAGTCTGTATTATTGCTCGGTGTTCACAGTCAGTCCAGCATAGCTTGGTTTTCTACAGTGCTCCTTTCTGGGAGATGAGGGTCAGAGGTCTGTCCACCTTTGCAGTCTGGGGCCTTATGAACTGAGCTTCTTCCTTTTGTAAGCTCTTCCTCCAAGATTGGCATGTGTCACAGGTGTGACAGGGTGGAGCTGCCTGAACCCAAAGCTGCTCTTTAACCCTTTCTTGCCTGGTTTCGGGGTTGTATACACACATTTCTACACATCATGAGTAAAGCAGATCCTCCCAAATTCATGCCAATAAAACATAATATACCACACCTCATGTTTTTATCGTCTATCTATCCATTCATCCTCATATATAAATAGACTTTATATAAAGGGCAATGTGATGAAATATGATTCATCACAATGGATTTGAGGGGCCACATTCCCTGTGAATGTCATATGTGGGTCATCCCTAACAAGTGCCAATAAAACTTATGGCACATACTTTACTGAAAATTTATTTAGCGACTTTTTCTGGTGTTGTAAAGGAATTTAAAGGTATTGTATTTTATATCCTCTCGTTATAAGACTAAATTCCCTTAGTATCACAAGTTCTTACTTTACACGCTTTGGAGACAGAGGAAAATATAATTGATACATTTTATAGAATACCTTAAAAAAGCCAAAATCCCACTATTGAGGAAGAAGGCCATACTAGTTAAAATAACAACCTGGTTTAGAGGCAATGAGGAAGCAGCCATACAAAATTTAAATATATATATATATACATATATATACATATAAAAATTTTGCATAGCCACTTCCTCATTGCCTCTAAACCAGGTTGTTTATATATAACAAATTGAATAAATGAGAGGTTGATAGGAATGGATATAAATCAGAAGATAGGAATTGTAGAAAATTGATAAGGGAAGCAAAGAGACACAAGGAGAAATCTATGGCCAACAGAGTTAAAGCTAATAAGAAGGAATTTTTAAAATATGTCAGATACAAAAAGAATCCTGACAATGGTATTGGTCCATTAGTAGATGGAAATGGTAGAATTATCAATAATAATGCAGAAAAGACAGAGGTGTTCAATAAATATTTCTGTTCTGTATTTGGGGAAAAAACAGATGATACAATCTGAATATATGGTGATAACATTCTTTCCCTACCATGAGTATCTCTTTAGCATATTAAACAGAAGCTACTAAAGTTAGACTTTTTTTTTAAATCAGCAGGTCCAGATAACTTCCATCCAAGAGTTTTAAAAGAGGAGCTTGCTGGACCATAATGTTGCTTTTCAATAAGTCTTGGAGCACTGGAGAAGTTCCAGAAGACTGGAAGAAAGCTAATGTTGTGACAATTTTAAAAAAGGGTAAACAGGATGACCTGTTAATTATAAATCTGTCATCCTGACATCAATCCCCCGGCAAGATAATGGAGCAGCTGATATGGGACCATAGGTGCTAGAACTAGACATGCTGGGGGTACTACTGTACCTCCTGGCCTGAAATGGTTTTCATCATATACAGGGTTTATACTTTGGTTCAATGGTTCTCAGCATCCCCATTATACAAATTGTTCCAGCACTTCTGTACAGGACTCGATTAATAAAGAATTAAAGGAGGGTAATGTAATTGATGCAAGTCAACATGGGTTTATGGAGAGTAGATCCTATCAAGCTAACTTGCAATATTTTTTTTGGTAAGATTACAAGTTAGTAAGTGTAATAGTAATAAAAGTAATAGTGTTGACATAATATACATAGACTTCTGTAAGGCAATTGACTTGGTACCACATGTCATTTTGATTAAAAAACTAGAACAATGTAAAATGAACATGACACACATTAAATGGATTAAAAACTAGCTAACTGATAGATCTCAAAATGTAATTGTAAATGGGGAATTGTCATCAAGCATGTGTGTTTGCAGTAGAATTCCTCGGGGATTGCTTCTTTGCCCTACGCTATTTAACATTTTCATCAGTGACCTGGAAGAAAACATAAAATAATCACTGATAAAGTTTGCAGATAAAATGAAAATTTGGGAAGTGGCAAATAATGAAGAGGATAGGTCACTGATTCAGAGCCGTCTGGATCACTTGGTAAAATGGGCAGAAGTAAACAATATGTGCTTTAATATAGATAAATATAAGTGTATACATCTAGGAACAAAGAAAGTAGGCCATATTTACAGGATGGGGGACTTTATCCTGGGAAGCAGTGATTCTGAAAAAGATTGTGGTGGATAATCAGCTGAACGTGAGCTCCCAGTATGATGCTATGGCCAAAGATCTAAGGTGATCCTGGGATGCATACACAGGGACATCTCAAATAGAAGTAGAGGTTATTTTACCTTCATATTTGGTACTGGTGGCTGGAATCCTGTGTCAAGTTCTGGTGCTCACAATTCAAGAAGGATGTTGCTAAAGTGGAGAGGGTTCAGAGAAGAGCCACAAGAATGGTTAAACGTTTAGAAAACACACCTTATAGTGATAGGCTCAAAGAGTTCAATCTAAAAGAGAAGATTAAGGGGTGACTTGATTACAGTCTATAAGTATCTATATGAGGAACAAATATTTAATCAAGCAGAGAAAGATATAACGTGATCCAATGAAGTTAGACAAATTCAGACTGGAAATAAAACATTTTTTTTAACGTTGAGAGTGATTAACCATGGGAACAGTTTACCAAAGGATCATGGTGGATTCTCCATCACTGACAATTTTTAAATCAAGATTGGATGTTTTTCTAAAAGATGTGTTGTAGGAATTATTTTGGGGAAATTCTATGGCATGAATTATACAGGAGGTCAGACTAGATTATCACAATGGTTCCTTCTAGCCTTGGAATATTTAAATGAATCGATGAGAATCTATGAATAAAAATCTAAATAATCACCCATTTCAGTGTACAATATTCAGGACCGCCAGATCTAGAAGCAAGTGTTGTGTATCCCACTGGAAAGTTTGGGAATCCTTCCTTTCCAAAGTT